ATATTGACATTAAAAGATGTTTACATTTTTAAAAAAACAACACAAAATAATTAACTAAAAAATAAAATTTAAATTTTATTTTTTTTTTAAATTAAAAAAGAAAATTAAAAAAAAGAAAGAAAAAAAAAAGAAAAAAAAGAAAAGAAAAAAATTAACTTAAATCTTAAAATACTGAACTGTGTATTTTATTAGGTCTGAGAGGAATAGAAAGAATAATATTTTAGGAATCGTTGTACATTTATTATATGCATATTCTCGTTAAGCCCATCAAGCTTTAAGTAACATCCCGAAATGTCAAGGATGATTCAAAACTCCCAATTCAAACGGATGAAACCCAAAACAGACAGACCCGATGAATACAGACAAGTTAAACCAGACTAGGCAGACACAAGATCAACCATCAGGGAGGCGCGAGGCCAAGCAGAATAGCAAAAGCTCAGACTAGACAGTACAGCTTCAGTTTGATTTGATATGGCTACGATCATTAAGCTCAACTGACACATGTCGTGGGTATAGCATTATAGTAAGTTGCATTGTACGACTCGAGAATATTTCCAGCTGACTTCCATAAGTTGACCAAGTACACATTTTTATGACAGCTTCACTACCCTAAGTTGAACAGGTACACATTTTTATGACAGCTTCACTAAAGTTGACCAAGTACACATTTTCAACTTGGTCTTCATTTCGATTGCCAGAGCATGTTCTTGCATGTTGTAGTTCAAGTTCTAGATATGGGCCAGAACAAATGCTGCCTGTTGTTGTAAGTTTACCATTTACCTGTCATGTTTACTAACATAAATATACCAGGTTTACTTTTATATAGTATGATGTATCATCATATTGAAGCCTGTCGCTTCCTTATATTTTTTCTAAATAGTTGCTTATCGCGTTTCTTTTGTGTTACTAGATGCACTTCGAGTAATATCTACCTTAATATATGCGTATATAATATAATTATGTACTAAGTATATCACACATTATAGCATGTAGCTCCCCTATAATGTTACTTGATGAACCATCAAATACTAACCTGTCGTTACCGTTTAATATAACTAGATGCACTACACTATGGCTGCTATTGCTATCTTATAACAGTACTACACTATGGCTGTTATTGCTATCTTATAACAGTACTACACTATGGCTGTTATTGCTATCTTATAACAGTACCACACTATGACTGTTATTGCTATCTTATTACAAGTTGCCCGCAGCAACCTTATACAGTTGCTAGCTCTTCCCATGAACTATTACATCTCCCCACAACTATTCGATGACAGAACATGACTACCCTAATCTCACCAAGTTAAACCAAACGAGAACAACAAAAAAATGTCGTAATCTTCCCTTAATCTGTAATCCGCTTACCCGTTCTCCGTCTTTTAAGTCACGTGCTCAACAAAGGTCAGACGACTCCGTTGACCTTTCGTCTGAAGCTCCAGGATTAAAGCAACAATCTCCCCCTCACTCCCCCCCCCCCCCACCCTTCGGTACTAAGCTCCGGTATTTTCTAGGGCATTCATGATACTATCACATTCTATTAATGGTACCTCTAATTAATAGCAATACCTTATAAAAGCACATCTTTTTAAAGCACGTCTTATTAGTATACTTTAGTGTTGGCAGCACGTCCTGTTTGTGTCATTTCATGTTAGAAGTACGTCATAATAAATAAGTCCTGTAAGTGGAATATCAACGCTAATTACCAGATCATATACTGGGGTACGTCCTGTTAATAGCACGTCATTGAAATACCATGTCATGTGACTTGTACGTCCTGTCAACAGCACGTCATTTAAGTACAGTGTTCTGTTACTTCTACGTCCTCTTAATAACATGTCATTAAAATAAATGTTCTGTAAATATCACGTCATTAAAATGACATCTCCTATTACTTGTACGTCGTTTTAATGTAACGTCCTGTCAATAGAAAGCCCTCTAATATCGGATATTGATCCACCTTGTTTAAAAGGCTTTCCATCACATCATTTTCTGAGTGATTTGCAGGTCTTTATTAGGGATCTTTTTGTAGCTATTTTTAGCTACTGGGCTCTAGTCATAGTACTGACAGTGTGTGAGTGTGTGTGGGGGGGGGGGATATAGTTTGAGATCTTTTGACAATGCATTTCCCTACACATTTTGACAGTTAGATGCATATATTTTTAAATATTGTCAACTGTAGGGAGTATTCGAGACCATAACGACGGTCCAAAATGTTAACCCACGAATCTTTAGAAAATTCTAAACACTTTGTTTTCAACGGGTAAATATCTCAATTATTTCAATGCAATAATTTGTTGTGTATAACTTTTAACAACAACTCATTTAATCCATAATCAGCATCGTTTCAAAGTCAGCTATTCTTCGCCAAGCGTATTGAAAAAAAAATGAAATCTTCGCTTTGTAAATAATTAGTTCGTTAATAATAACCCGAGGTCACACTTTTAAACTATACTCATTTTACACAATTTTAAAAATGTATTCCTTTTTCGTCATATTGCAACTAAATTATTGTTGAATTTTATCGCAACGATTTGTTTCCAAATTTAAACCTATATCAGTCTTGGGGTACAACAAATTTGGCATAATTTGATATACAATTTAATGTATAACTATCTTTAAAGCATTACGAAAATATTGCTATTTATAGAGGTAAAGGAGAGAAGTATCTAATTATCATTTTTCAAGGGACAGCACCCGCTCAGTGTTAATCGCCAATACATTAGTTTTGTTATGAACTGTACAGTGACTGAAGTATTGTGGCAATTAGAATATAATCATCCCAGAAAGTAAATTCCTAAACTGTAAATAAAACAGCCGATCGTATCTAACAGATGTTCAGTGTTAACTGACTATCGAGATAGCAGTAAATATAACTTACACAGGATTAAAGTGGTTAGTTCTATTTACCCAAACTTCTCATTGTACACCGTTCTATTGTTTGATTTTTTTCTATCAGATCTACTACTTACGCTTCCTGTTCTATTGTCAATATAATCTAGCCTCATTGTTCTTGAGTTGTACATATTTTTTAAAAAATGTCTTCATTACACGTTTCTCAAAAAAAAAAAAAAAATCAAGAATTTTCCTTAGTATTATCTCCCCCTGATATCTACTGTACCAAACGAAAACTAAATCCCTGAAGACTGTGTCCCCTCCCCCCTCTTTCACCTCCTTTAAAATCTCCCCCCCCCCCCTCATTTATCCTAGACTCGGGGTCCTGTAAGACGCGGTGAAGAACTACACAAGAAAGAGAAGAAGAAAAAAAAAGTTATTTATTATCTCCCCCTGTCGTCCCATAAAGTGAATGACCAGATTTATCACACGCGCCAGAACGGCGTATTAATTTCTCCTTTCTGCTGCACTCACAGCAGAAGACAACGGAATGGGCCGCGTTGATTGGTGGAAGAATGATGAGGAAAATATAGCCCCCCTCTTCTATCACCCCTCTCCCACACTCACCCCACCAACCGCACACACACATACACGCCGCAGTATTGATCCCCCCCCCCACAAGGACCTACATTATAAGAGAGTATGGGAGGTTTTTACTGCTACTCAGGATTACCCATGAGTCGCCGCGTCAGTAATGAGGTGATAAGGGGGGAGTAATTGGATTTTTGGTTTTAATGTGCAGCCAATCTGAAAGGGGAAAAAACTCTTTGATTTTTTTGTGCTTTTTGTTTGCTTGAACGTGTTCATCTTTTGTGTAATATTCCTGCTGAGCACACGATTATTTCTGTGTAGTGCCACGCAAGATTAATTTTATGCAAGCTAGTTTGTCAGAGGCCTTGTTAAACAGGTAATTTACAGTTACAAATGAAGTAGATTTAAACCTTTAGACGAGACTTTTATATTAATTTTGTTTATATTTTTGACAAGACAAAACTTAATCGAGATTCGATAAAATCACGTATATAGTCCTGCTTGGTTTAGAGTTAGATAAATGTTACCAATGGAGTAAATGTTACATATCTAGAACTAGTGACAAACCAATGGATTTGAGGCTGTGATTATATCATCGGTATTAGCAAACTAGCATAGAATCCGTACAGTTTACTTTTTTTTTTTTCAGTTGCTAATTCAAATTTTATTATGAACAGAAAGCAAGAACACAATTTGAATTAGTTGAAACAAATAATTTCGTTAAGAAATAAATAGGTTTCAAATTTATTTATTTATTTTTTAATTTTATTTTTTTCCGCCTCAGACACGTAATTTATAGCGTCAGTTGTGTGTTCGCTTTAGTATTACAGTTTTCATCATCGGCTTGTGAGGACTGATACTGATTTACAGTAGTAATATTTCTTTCTTACTTGTAGCCTACTTTCATTCATTTAAGATTGTTTACTTATACATAGATCTAATACAAAATCCGTACAGTTTACGATAATAATTTTGATCATTAGTATTGGTAGCAGTAAAAATTGTTTATTTATAATTGAATTATAACAGTTCTCAACACTCACAATCAAAAGGTTGATTTTCTTCTTCTTCTTCGTTCTTAATTTTAATTTGGATGGGATTTCGTCCAACACAATTAAGTATTAGGTGTCAACATGTGTAGCTCTGTATAGGCCGTTAACTCTGATTTCATAATGCTTTTGATTTAAATTTTAAAACAACTCCAAGCCACCATTTGTTTGATTTTGGAGTTGTCTGTCTTAGATGGTTTGCTGTCCCCAGATATCAAGCCTCACCTGCCCGGGGATTCGAATTCAGGAATGTTTTGTTTAAGAAGTCACGAGCTGTACCCACCTGATTACGCCGACACTTATACACCTACATTATACTTTTCAAAGATATCACTTGACTAATGTTTGTATCATCTGTGTTTTAAACATGGTATATTCAACACAATAGGGCTGGTAAGTAGGTCAATAAACACTTATATGGCTCATGCAGGTTTTAGTGAGCCGTAGAACTGGTTGGTAACCTACTCACCAGCCCTAATCACATTCATGACGGCTTAGTTCACGATGCGCGCGCATCTTTACCTTCATCATCATCGTAAAAGATGGTGACCTTCTTCCACTTGTAATACACGATGACGTCGACCACGGCGTGGACAGACAGGGGCTTCATGTAGATCTGGTAAGCGCCCCTGTTGGAGCTGTTGTGGGCGAGGCTGACGGTCAGGTAAGGCACGTTAAATGTGTCCGTGTAGGACTGGATGGTGGCCAGGGATGAGGCTCTGGACACGCCCACAATTGCCAGGACGCCCTTGGATAAATGCTGACACACTGGGAATAATATAATAAAAAAAAACTGTTAATAATGTATATCGATGTGTTTAATTTAAATTTAATTGGTATGTAATATTCTCAGACAGTGGTGTCGCTAGGTCGGGTGTCACCCGATGCGGCACTTCGTAGTGTCACCCCCCCCCCCCCTTTCCCAAAAAAAGTATATTATTAAATTTTTACTTAAAATAATTAATCGACAAGCATAAAAGCATTTTTCTTCTGAAAATTTGGCAATTTTTAGCCGTGGTGTCACCCCCCCCCCCCCCAAAAAAAATAGTGTCACCCAGTGCGGCCTGCACCCCCGCCCTCGCTATGCCTCTGTTCTCAGACCTCTATACCTAGGAACCTACTGGATTACTGAAGACATATTGAAGAAAAAACACACATAAACTGTTAAACAGTCGTACATTTTTTCATTATTATCTATATTTATAAGGTGTACCCTGACCATACTGTCGTGGAAACACTTAGATACATGCTAGCGCCCTATAGCGCAGAAAAATCAGGACAAAGGATGGGACACTGAAATAAAAGGCACAATGTAAAACTGTTATAAAGGCGTGTTTGATATGTTTATGTTTATGTCGTAAATCCAGGCTATATCACACAGAACCCACTGGATTTATAAAAAAAAAATATGACACACTGGAATAATAAAAACACATGTTGTAAAAGTAACTTGGTTTTCTATGTATGCGCCTTCCACGATACTTTAAAATCAGAGTTTCTTCCGCCCCCCCCCCCCCCCCCCGCCCCCCCCCCCCCCCGCCCCCCCCCCCCGCCCCCGAAGATAGTCTAACCCCCTTTCCCCCCCCCCCCCCCCCAAGGAAATGGAATTTATATAGAAAATATATAATTTTAAAATTATCCGCCTCCGCCGGAAATTTTAGTCCGCCACCCTACTCTCCCACCCCTCTCCCCCGAACATTTCAAGCCCCCCCCCCCCCCGCCCCCGGAGAAAAAGGTCTGGAAGAAATACTGTTTACAATAAATAGTTACATATTATGTTTCTTATATTTCATGCTAAAAGGTGCCAAGTAGCTCTTGTATTTATCAGTTTTGATGTAATCTTCGACCACGGCACTTTTGTGTAGTAAAGTAAAATTCGGTTTATATGAATCTCCTTAGTGATATACCACATTATCGTTGGGCGATTTTGGTTATGACCTAAAATTCGTTCAATTAACTCGTACGCTTTTTAGTGGTGAGATATGATTTCTTGTTATGAAGGACTTGGCTATGTAGGCTACTGGATCGCTTTGCGTTTAGTACCCTTTCTGATTTTAATCCTAACGATAACAGCATACACCTAATACCCTAGACATCTCCCAATTACTTTCCCAGATAGAAAGTTTATGGAATACTCTAGTATGATTCATAGAAGTATTCCAATGGCAGCCTAACTGAAAAGTACTCATAATGTATACCATTTTTTATTACACATTAGACTTTAATGTTGGAGTAGGGACTGATGTTTGTGTAATGGATGTGGAGTGTATAGCCAGGTTTACGTACAAGACTTGAGTTTAAAATCTTTCGTGCGATAACGTTACTAAAACACGATTACCGATACATGTAGATGCTATGAGAAATCAGTAGTATCGATACCATGGCTAGGTGACTTTTCAGGGTAGAATATCAGCAAATACGGAAAGCTGTCTCAACAGGTTAGTAATCGATTATTGATACTGCTGCTATCCCAAGTGGGTGAAAGGGTACTATCAAAATAGTTGTATCAATACTACACGTGGGAAGTTGATCGGTAGGGGGCAGGGTAAGCAAACATGTAGTATCGATACCACATTTTTTTAAAACTATCGGATGGTAGTGTAAAAGTATGTTAATGCTATATCGATACCATCGTTCGACGTTTGTGTTGTTGATTAATAAACAAGTAATAGTATCGATATCATTGTTTAGCATATGCGTAAGTATAAATTAAACAAAAGGTAATATCGATACTACAGATATCGAGTTTAAAAACGAAGCGATAATTCCAACAGCATCAGTCGACAAGTCTTTCTCTTCTGAAGAATGAGAGAGTAAGCAGGGGCGACTACTCCTGTCGGTCAGAGATTTAAAACTTAATTGAACTGACAGCAGTAACTCAATTAGTTCACGCCATTTTTTCCCCGCGTTGCATTTTAAAGACACCACTCTGTGCATTAGACTTTGTGTTTTAAACTGAAAAAAAAAACCAACCTAAAGGCTGCTATAGGATAAGTCATAAGCTTCAACTGGTCGCTAAAGACATATTCGTTTTCGTATTTTAAAGTTAAAAATTGAACGGTTTTGCATAACTGTATTAAAGTTTTGTTGTTTTAAAACTATTTACAAATAAAAGAATGAGCATTACAAAGTAGTTTGGTGGTTTTTACATTAGTTTGAATTGAAAGGATATACACTGCATGCAAATTATGATGTTTCAAAATCATGCTAACCTTTTATACTAATTCAAATCTTGAACATTTTCTTTTAAATGTATCTCTTACCTTAACAATCCTAAACTATATTTCAACTCTCGGTTGTATTTGACACAGCACAAATATACAGCCAAAAAAAAAAAAAAAAAAAAAAAAAAAAAAAAAAAAAAAAAAAAAAAACAGCAACACGTTTTTTTATCTGAACCAAACAATACTAATCACACAACAGAAAGCTACTCGCACCAAAAAACTATGTTTATCTCATGCAACACAAAACTATTCACACACATTTTTTTTAAACTGATGCAACACAAAACTTCTCACACAAAAAAAAATATCTCATGCAACACAAAACTACTCACACACACACAAAAATATCTCATGCAACACAAAACTACTCACACACACACACAAATATCTCATGCAACACAAAACTACTCACACACAAAAAAAAATATCTCATGCAACACAAAACTACTCACACACACACACTAATATCTCATGCAACACAAAACTACTCACACACAAAAAAATATCTCATGCAACACAAAACTACTCACACACAAAACAAAATATCTCATGCAACACAAATCTACTTACACAAAAAAATATCTCATTCAACACAAAACTACTCACACACACACAAAATATCTCATGCAACACAAAACTACTCACACACAAAAAAATATCTCATGCAACACAAAACTACTCACACACAAAAAAATATCTCATGCAACACAAAACTACTCACACACAAAAAAATATCACATGCAACACAAAACTACTCACACACAAAAAATATCTCATGCAACACAAAACTACTCACACACAAAAAAATATCTCATGCAACACAAAACTACTCACACACAAAAAAATATCACATGCAACACAAAACTACTCACACACAAAAAAATATCACATGCAACACAAAACTACTCACACACAAAAAATATCTCATGCAACACAAAACTACTCACACACAAAACAAAATATCTCATGCAACACAAATCTACTTACACAAAAAAATATCTCATTCAACACAAAACTACTCACACACACACAAAATATCTCATGCAACACAAAACTACTCACACACAAAAAAATATCTCATGCAACACAAAACTACTCACACACAAAAAAATATCTCATGCAACACAAAACTACTCACACACAAAAAAATATCTCATGCAACACAAAACTACTCACACACAAAAAATATCACATGCAACACAAAACTACTCACACACAAAAAATATCACATGCAACACAAAACTACTCACACCAAAAAATATCTCATGCAACACAAAACTGCTCACACACACAAAAAAATATCACATGCAACACAAAACTACTCTCACACAAAAAAAAATAGTTGAGGAAACAATCAAGCGCACCCATTAAAAATTCGTGTACCCAAAAATATCAACTGCAGCAACATTGCAGGGAAACCTCGTTAGATAATTACATCACTCAATAATTCCAACCTGTATCAATAATTTAATCCCTGAAACTTCGCAGATTTAAAAATAAATAAAACTCCAGTTGCTCTAGAATTTTTTTAGTTCTTCAGCAGAATATTTTAGCGTCTCTAGATTATCGAAGAAAAAAAAATAGTGGTTCCGGTTATTTCCCTTTAGCGAGAATTGGTTTTTTTTGTAAGAAATAAAACTTAGCAATCACGATGAGCGTCTGTTTCACGCTGGGATGGGAGGGGTGGGATTGGTGGTTGGCGGCGTCACTTAACTGGGAGTGGACGAAACTTCATTTACTTTAACTGTGGGAGAGGGGGTTGGAGTGGGTGGGGACAAGAACAATCCAACTTGGAACGTAATTGAATTTTCGTCCATTGTTTAAATCGTATCTGAAAAGTAAGGAATTATTTGTTGTGGGGATGTGGGGTTGGGGAAAGAGTTGTTTCAAATTAATGAAACTGTGCTTAATTATTTATTTTTAAATATGTAGCTTAAAAAACATTCGTTTAATCTGGAGAGCGTTGTATACTTAATTAAATGAAATCTTTCTGTTTGTTGATTCTGTACCACACACTCCCCACCCCCCTCGTCTTTGAATCGGCTTCGCCTTACATAACAAATTAGTCTAGTCAGTCTGGTAAGTAAAGTAAAGTTTTCCCTTTCAAACCTGACAGTCTATGGGGCAAGTGAAGTAGAGTTCACTTGTTTCTGAGACCTCGGCACATGAAGAGATAGTGTGGTCAGCACTATGCCCGGCCGCCTTTACTTTCCCTAACGTGAGTTAGGTACCCATCAGAGTTGGGTGGACTCAGGGACGGTCTACTGACTTGAACCCGGATTCGAACTCGAGACTTACGGGTTAGCAGTCCAGCTCTCTACCGCTAGACCACTCCGTCCCTAATCTAGAGGGACTACGAAAAAGAATAGTGGTACTTTCTTTTAATGTAATGGAAAAAAGAAATACATTATCCTTATCGTGTGTAATATATATATATATATATATATATATATATATATATATATATATATATATATATATATATATATATATATATATATATTTGAATATATTAGAATCGTAAGTATTGTATTAAAGAGGAGA